ATTTAATGCCCCTTGAGATCAGTGCCAAATGCCCAAACGCTGGGTTCTTTGGTTCTCTGAACGCAAAGCCAAACGAGTAACCTCCGTCAGCTCTTTTCATGAAGGTCTTGCTAAGTTCATCTCGGAAACCCACCTTACACTCTTCAATGCAATTAACTTTTTTGGTTCGCCAATTTTCTGGTTGAGACCCTTTGCGCAAGAAGCAAGGAACTCTATTGGAGAGCAGCAGCAAGCCCCAGATTTCTTAATCCTGCGAGTGCAGCCCTAAGCCCAAAACCCTAAACATACTCTAAACCCTAAACCCCTAAACTCTAATGCTCTACAGAATAACCCCCCCAATACTCTAAACCCTAAACCCTAAACCCCCAACCCGTAACCCCAAAACTCAAAGTTCAAACTTCCCGGCCTGTGGCCAGTCCCCAAGGCTCTCACAGGCGGTAATTGCTGCGCTGAGCGTTACCACCTCGGCATGGGCCTAAACCCTCAAACCCTAAACCCCTGAACCCTAAAACAGAAACCCTAAACCCTAAAACCTATCCGACAGGCGAACTACCTGGTCTGGCCTTACTTCGCTACCTTACAGATGCTTCGTTAAAAGTTGCAGAGCAGCCGCATGATCTCGCAAACAACGCACAGTCCGCACAGCATGCTAGACTTCGCTCAGGGACAACCCCCCAAATGTGCAGCATCAGCGACGGCGATGCTTGCAATTGTGGCATTTACATTCGCACGTATGGCGGTAATAAATACGCCATCGCACTAATGACATCTGCTCTTTGTACACCACAAACTCTGCATGGTCCACCCTCCCCCCGTTCGACTGTTTCTGGGCAGTAACGGAATCGCAGCCTTCTGGAGCCCTTTTCCACGTATGGCAATCTTCGGTTGTCACGGCCTTCGTCTCCCCCAACAGGACCCGCACGACCAAAATGCATCGCTCTCCTGGAGGATGCTTGCATGTTCTGCTGGAGCTGCACTTTGAACAAGTCGTATAAACATCCGATTTCGAAGCATTCTCGGCAAAGTAAGCTCCTGTGCCGAACATTTGCCCAGTTGTTTCTCCTCCACGTTGTGCGTCCAACCCATTTTCCAGGATGCTCTTGACCGCACCAAATGGACAGCCGTGGAACAACAAATGCTCATTCAGGTTCGGGTGTCCATCTTCCACAATGCACTGGAATGCAGCGATTCCTTGCGGAGGGGTGCAGCCATCAGGCCTTCTTTGCGTGACATCTTGCCGAGCATGTCGATAGAGACTTTGACGGCGGGGGTTCACAATCTTGCATATTCTGGTAATCTCCACCTGCGGCGGGTCGCAAAACATGTTTGAGTGTGCCGATTTTCGATGGCGCGTCATTGAAGCCAAGAAAAGGTTCCTGAGGGCACTGTGCACGGGCTGGCCGTCTGGAACACGTTTTTCCAACAGAGATGAGCCTTGAAAAGAAGCCAGGATCTTGGTTGCGACTGCGTTTCGGAGCGGAACATAGTCGAAGTTTCTGAGGCAGGTGTCCGCATCTGGAAGCCCTGATAGCAGCAGCTCGGAAAGACGGGAACGATAAAGGCTCGCCACAGCCTTCTGCCTGGCAACCTCTTCTTCGGCAGCCGCCTTCTGCTGGGAAAGATCTTGCGACAGGGCCTGCTGCTCGGAGAGCTGCTTGAAATAAAGCTCAACCTGTGTGGAAAGCTGCCGCGCTCCGGCCTGTTGTTCCGAGAGTTGTTCGGAAAGACGCACGATCTGTTCCTCTGTGGCTGCCCTCTTCGTGGAAAGTTCCTGCGACAGCGCCTGCTGCTCGGAGAGCTTTCGCGAGAGTTGCTGAATGTGTTCCTGGTCAGCGGCATTTCGCTCAGAGAGGTCGGAAAGCCTCTGCGCCAGCTCAGAATTCTGCGTCTCGAGGGTGTGGAGATGCGTCGCGAAAGCATCACCATCCGGAACCATCTCTCGTCGAATCATCCTTTCGACTCCGGTTGCCCTGTTCGTCTGTCTTAAATTTTGAAGATCCACATCATAGGTATGACGGCCCGCCGTCGCTACACAGGTGGGCTGGCTTGCAATGCATGCAAGTTCGAGACGCTCTGTATACTCGTCTGAAGTTGGCCTCCATTGACTGCCGGCGAGATATTGCCACGCAGGCCTCTGAAATGGCGCACGTGCGTGCCGCGCGGCGAGCGGGGGGGGGGGGCAAAGGCGGGGGGAGGAGACGGGGTCGGGCTGGGAAGGAGGGCGTCGGGACGGGGTCCCGACAGGCTGGGCCGGTAGGGACGCACGCGCGTCGGGCTTCTGCAGCATCGGCAACATATAGTTTTGGTAGCCGCACACTCATGTCCCACAACGCCACGCCTGCTCCCACACAGAAAGCAACGCCGGCCCGAAACGCGACAACGTTGTCTTCGTCGACTTCGGGATGAGGATGAAACAATAAATACGTTTTTGCAGGTAACCAGCCGTACATGGCGGCAATACAGATGCTGATCACGATGCGGATGCACCAAAATATACACATGATAACTCCACGGGCCACGTGGTACATAGTGTTCTCGACACAATCCACTGCGAAAGTCGCACACATGAGGCACGTTCCCAAGCCAGGCAAACAGGTGTCATAGTCGTCATTGTAGCAGCGATTCATGATGCCAGGGCAAAGACTGCCACAGCAATCCCAAAGACTGTCACAGCGATCCATGATGTCAAGGCAAAGACGGCACGAATGTGACACACGAGCCCAGGGCCCTGGGGTTTTGGGATCCAATGGTATTGGTAATTATTTAGGCCCCTACATTGAGCTCGGACCTCACGTCATAAACTTCTTCTTTGTCAGGATTTTTCGTTGCCGAAGGCTAGACTCTAAACCAGGGTTCTGCAGGGTTTGTTTCTTTTTGTTTGGGGCGGGACCTCTTTTCAGGGTTTGGGGTCTAGTGTTCAGGGTTCTACAGAGAATGAAGTGTCAACCCGCTGTGGGAGCCAGAACTCCGAAAGTGTGAGAATAGAGCCCTACAAAACCGTAGAACCCTAAACCCTAAACCCTAAACCCTAAACCCTAAACCCTAAACCCTACAGGCCCCGTAGAAGACCGCGAGACCAAGAGTCCCACACCCCCAGAGTCTGAAGCCCAAGCTTTGAGGGGCCTTAATCATTAGAATAGGGTTTTGGGGCCTTTGATACTATAATTATAATAAGGAACTCCCAAAATAGCATTGGAAATTATTTAGGCCCTATAATATTCTTGCTTGTGCAAGCGGCATTCGGCTGAACTTGCCTGATCTCTGTCTCCTCCAGAAGAGAAAGAGCCTGGCATTCGCACGAGTCCCGGCACCGGAGGTCGTGCTCAAGCTTTGTTGGTTGTTGCTGCTTAGGGGTGTGAGTTCAAAAGCTGACCAGCTGTTTGGGGTTTCCGGGTTGAGAATGAAATCACTCAGGGTTCAAGGTGCACGGGTCAATGATCAATGCAGGTGTACAGTCACGGACGAAATGAAACTTCCAAACTTCGCCCAGTTGCTAGCGCCAGCTGGCTGCAGCTGCCACAGGCACTGATGGCGGCGCTGCAGGTGATTTCCTGCGTCTGCTTCAGATGTCTGGGCTCATACATACGGTTCGTTCTACGTCTCCCTTACGGACGAAAAGAGCCCTAAAAGGTGTTAGGGTTCATAGACCATATGGGGATTCATAGTATAAGGGTATATGGCCCCTACTTTTAAGGTTCTTTTCGTCCTTAAGGTCTGCAGTGGGGCTCTCTATACATCTCAACTCTGAACCTCGACAGTTTAACACTGGGAAACCTTGAAATCGCAGGCCTAAACCGTGAACCTGAACGTGAGCATTACCCCACTGGAGGTGGCCACAGCGCCAAAAATTTTTCAAACACCCACAAAACCAAAAACAAATCCCTGTGTATTGAAACAATCCTTGTTCATACCGGTTACAGGTATTAACAAGGATACTGCTGGTACCGTATTTGGACCTTCAGGGCAGTACAATTCCTACTGATACAGAACACACGATTCTATAAGCGACAAGACCCGTAACCCCCACAAAGCCCCAGTAAACCCCTACAAGACCCTAATTATTGTACTGTACAGGTCAGCAAAAAAAGGAGGGGGGCGGCCACGCATAAATGCCCATATACCCATGACAGAATGCTATGAAAGACGCGTTTGAAACCCAAACAAGATCCCTTTCAAGCCGTCATAAAAAAAAAAAACCTAAAAGCTCGTACAAATTCTGAAACCCCTATAAACCCTGCACCCTAAACCCTTGAAACAAAATATAACCTCCCCCCCCTCTTTCTTCAAAACAAAGAAATTGCGGACGCAGCGGCATCAGGGCAGAGACCTGAAGACTCTGCTAGCTCCAGGAGGTGGATCGCCTGCTGCCTGCGCTTCGTTTCCGCTCTTAAACACAAGGCTGTGGGTTTAGGGTTTAGGGTTTAGGGGTTTAGGGGTTTAAGGTTTAGGGTTTAGGGGTTTAGGGTTTAGGGATCCATTTTAGATTGTAGAGCTTGTAATTAAAATCATGGTGATCAGGATTGCTTTGATTGTGGCACGTTTGAGCTTATCTTGATGACCATTCTTCTTGCATTTGACTTTTGGAGTTTCATGCTTGAGTTAGGGTTTAGGGTTTAGGGTTTAGGGCTTAGGGTTTAGGTGTTGAATCCCTTGTGTTGCCTTTCAACTAGAGTTTGTAATAGGCTTTATAGGGGCTTGGAGTTTAGGCTTACGGCTTGTCTTGGGCTGCGGTTTAGGCTTCTGCGGCTTAAACACTTTCCAGGCAAATCCAAGCAACACGTCTTGGTGAGTTTATCCTACTGACTATATTCATGTGACTTGGCACTTGGAGTATCACATCGACAAACCCGAAAACCCTAAACCCGCCCCAGGCGTTCCACCCTACACCCTAAACCCTAAACCCAGGCAGTATTTTGGGGCCCCCAGGTCAGTCCGAGAAGCATCAGCAACGTATTGCCCGTACTAATCCGGAAGCTGAGCCATCAACCCTGAATCAGGGTTTAGGGTTTATATGGTTTAGGGATCAGCCAAGCCATGCAAGCATAGAAAGCGACCAGATCCCATGTTGCAAGTTGTAAACTCTCAACCAGGTGTAGACTCGATTTATTCCACCAAAGGCTTTGGGGAGCTATGCGTGTAGCGACTCCGACCATACATGAAAGTTTCGGGAAAATGATACTTACGTGGAGAAGCCCGCACACATGTGTTCTCCGCTGTGAACCAAGGCGCCATTCCCTCGCCCGTTCGCAGGCTGTCACCAATGTGTTCAGCACAACGAGGTCGATCGCCACTCCGCGCTGATGGGCGTGATCTGGGCTTAGAGCGCAAGGTTTAGAGTCCGATGTTTTGGGGTTCGGGATTTGGTTTACAGGATCAGGCTCCAGGATGTACAACTGTAACCCTAAACCCTAAACCCTGAACCCAAGATCCCAGAAACTGAACCCTAAACCCTAAACCCTGAACCCAAGATCCTAGAAACTGAACCCTAAACCCTAAACCGAACTTCTAGAATTGGGCAAACGGCAGCTTCCACCCTGGAATCCCGTGGCTCCTTGCAAAGTCCCCTACATCCAGAACCCGCAAGCCCCCATTTTGTCCGAACCATTGGGTCCCTGCATACCAATCCACGGTTTAGGGTTTAGGGTTTAGGGTTTAGGGTTTAGGGTTTCGGGTGCATACCAATTTCTACGTGTCGGATTGTAGGGCTTATAGGGTTTAGGGTTGAGGGATGAAGGTTTTGGCTTGTAGGCTTTGGAGTTTAATCCGTGGGGGATGGTGCATTACTTGCATAGGGAGTATTATTAGGGGTACCCCTTAAAGGGTACCCCTTCTGAACCCTACTTTTGGCTCGCTTAGAAGGGACCTTATTGAGAGGGTCTATATCCCCAAGGGTCCCCCTAATCCTAACTCCCATTGCAGTGGTAAACCCTAAACCCCAAACCTTAAACCCCAAACCCTAAACCCTAAACCCCAAGCCCTAAACCGTGGGGGACGGTGCATTTCTTGCAGGCACTCCGCTGATTGCGGTCAAAGCTCCCAGAAGACTCAACGCTTGTATCCACTCCTCTGAGCGACCGCAGGTGTTGATGATGGTGCTGTACCTAGGGTTTAGGGTTTAGGGCTTAACCCCAAAATAGGATATTGCTATTAGGATATGCAAATTTTATGAATTTGAATATCAAGTATCCTTTATCTTTTCTTTGTTATGTAGAAAGCCCCCCTCGATAAAGGGTCCATGTACCCAAATAGTAGATACTTTGGCCTTAAAGTAGTCCCTATATAGGTACTTTGGGACCAATGTATATACTGTATGAACACATGGACCCCCAGCGTAAGATTCAGGATGTCAGCTGTAGATTTAGGGTCTGGGGTCTGGGTTTATAGGGTCTGAAGTTGGAAGGTCTTGGGTTACTAACCCAAGACCTTCAACCCTAAACCCTAAACCCTAGACCCTAAACCCTAAACCCTAAAAGTTAGCTTTTGAAAGACCGGGCAGACGGAAGATCAACCCTTGAAGGTTCACAGATAACTTTGACGAACTAGGCCAAAGAGCAACAAAAATAAAGAGTGCCGAACCCCAAACGTCCAAGTAGTCCTTGTTTATGGTTTTAGGTGCCCCAAAAAGCCCCCTGGGTACTTGGGCCCTTAGGGGAACCCTAAACCCTAAACCTAAACCCTCAAATAGTGGGTACCTGGACCCTTACGAGACCCTGATCCGCAGCTAGATGTGTAGCCTCTCCACTCTGACACAAACACTTCCTAGAGACTCCAATATATCCCTTAATTAAGGAAGATACCTTAAATTATAGTAGGGTTTCTAAGATGATTTAAGGTATATTCCTTAGTTTGGGGATATTGGAGTCTCTAGGTTCCTCCAAAATGTTATAAAGTCCCTGAGGGTCCATGTACTCATATAGTATATACATTGGCCCCAAAGTACCTAGATAGGGACTACTGTAAGGCCAAAGTATATACTTAATTGAGTACATGGACCTTTAGGGAACTCTTGTAAGCCGATAGCGCTAAACCCTGAACCCAGAGACCCTAAACCACCGAGCCCACGACCCAAAATACTCAACCGTGAGCCCCCCAAACCCAGCACAGTAGATCCTGAACCCCTAGACCCTGTCATGCTTAAACTCTACCTATAGTCTCCATTGTAGTTCCTTTTTTTGGTTTAACCAAATATATATTAACGAGTTTATAAGGTATCCCCAAAAAGGAACTACAATGGAGACTATAGGTAGATAAGTTCAACTTGCCGGAGGCACGTGATCTTGTCCACCTTGAGGCTCCGTGTCTCTAACGCCTCCAGCAATGCCACGGCCACGCGCCATTGCCCCCCTTTGTCCTCAGAGCCAGTAGCTCTAGTCCCAGAGACTCCAATACCCGTTAATTCATGAATATACCTTAAATTACAGTAGGATCCCCAATAAGATTTAAGGTATATTCCTTAACTATAAGGGGTATTGGAGTCTCTGGGGTTAGGGTTTTGGGGCTTAGGGGTTTAGGGTTGTGCGATGTACCATCGAGGGCAGAGGGCTCGGGCCAAAAACCCTAAAGCCTAGCACCTCTACATGTAGGCTTCTGGGTTTCAGCAAGCTGAACCCTAAACCCTAAACCCTGAACCCAAACTGCAGGTCGAGTGGCACAGGCTCCCAAGGTGGAGTTGAAAGACACGATGTCAGGTGCCTGGCATATTAAAACGGGATAAAGATCCAGGTCTCAAGCTCGAATCCATCGGTTTTTGTTGAGTGGCTTTCGGGTGTGGGGTTCAGGCGTAACGTTTGGCAATCCTAAAGCTAGACTCGACCCCACACCCTACAGCCAAAGCTCGTATCACGCCCTTCGCAACCCTCTTCGAAGTCTCGTATCCTAAGGCCTTTAGCTCGAATCTAAACCCAGACCATACTAAGAACACTCCCAACTGATCAAAGCCAGCGAAGAAATACGACAGCACGATAAGACACCTAAACCCTAAACCCTAAACCGACAACATGAGGTTGCCTCCATCTCACTGAGTAGCTGCACTGCCGACTGCCAAAGGCTCCCCTTTCGGCAGGCGCTCAATGCCACGTTGAAGGAGATCACGTCTAGCTCCAGCCTGACAATAGAATGGGTTTGGGGGTATATCACAACATCTTCATATATTATCCCATGTTTAGGACAGTCTAAGCATTTGGAGTGAGGGTCCACCGTTTAGGGTGCATAATGGGACTTAGCAGCTAGGGCTTGTGCAGTGGGTTTCGGATGCAGAACAGAACTTGTCCAAGTTCAAGAGTTTGAGGTTGCGGTTGGGTGTGCGTGCAGAGGCCCCGTCTTCTGGGAGTCCAGCATCGATATGGCATGTTATGCCTGTGTTAGGGTGCTGACACTGAAAACCGTTTGCTAGTAACTCTTGAAGCTCCCATATCGAGCCAAACCTTCTGGTCCGAACTACCTGCAGTTCAGGCTTGAGGGGTTTAGGGTGCGAAGTCCGAAGGTTTAGGGTCTACGGCTTCAGGTTCAGGCTTGGGCTTCCCCGGGCCCCGAATCCTAAAACCCTAAACCCTGAACCCTAAACCCTAAACCCTAAAGCCTGAACCCTAAACCCTGAACCCAAAAATCCTGAACCCTAAACCCTAAACCCTCAACCCTAAACCCTGAACAGTAAAATCCTGAACCCTAAACCCTAAACCCTGAACCCTAAACCCTAAACCCTACTGAACCCTAAAATCCTGAACCCTAAACCCTGAAACCTAAACCCTTAACCCAGCTATATTCTGCCGGATGCAAGTCGCATCTTCTGCCGGCTGCGGTGCATGAGCTGCAGTGCGCTCTGAACAGCTCCGGCCCTGCATCGGTTTAGGGTTTAGGGTTTTAGGGTTTAGGGTTTAGGGGTTTAGGGTTTAGGGGTTTTGGGTTTAAGGGGGTAACCCGCAACGACGATCTTATAGGCATACCTCTCTAAATTTGGGGTCCCTTTAGGGTTCCTTAAAAAGGTGGATCTAACTATAAGGGTTTCTACAGGGGTATCTATAAGGGATCTACATGGGTAGTTCTCTAAATCAGGGTCCCTTTTGGGGATCCCATTTTTATAAGGGTGCCGTACTACTTTGGGGATCTAACAAGGAATCCTAACTTAGAGAACTACTTGTATGTGGTTCGACTATCGGTTTATAATACTGAGTCTTCGGACACTCATCACCAACAGTTGGGCTTGAAAGGCTCAGGGGTTGAGGGTGTGCTAGTTTAGGGTGGTTACCGCTCAGTCTTACGAACTGAACCTTTCGGGTATAGGACTACTTCTAGCAATGTGCTGACAAGCGATGTCCTAGTGTGACCCAGCAACGAAACCTTGAACTGTCAACACGCCTGTTGCACTCCAACATCCATCCTTTCCCATGTGCCCTAAACTCCACTACTCACCTCTTGAACCTTGACCACCGGCAATTTCCGGTTCGCCAATGCAACAGAAAGACTCTACAAACTATACATGCCTTGACTTCTGAATGTCAGCCCAGAACACGTTGAAGCCGGGCGAACTCGACCAACCCGAAGAAGCCCAAAAAGGAGTGTTGGGGACATGAACCCTGAGGGTCCATGTACTCATATAGTATATACATTGGCCTCAAAAGTACCTATATAGGGACTACTTTACGGCCAAAGTATATACTATTTGGAATCTTAGGGGAAGATAAGGCAGTGGCTACAACTTCTATGGTTACACAGAACCTGGCACTCAACACAACTATACCATTCCTACATCTGGTTTCAAACCAAACACTGATTTGGGGCATGTTGCCTCACATTCACAATCCGTAAGTTACGCCGTAAGTACTACTTCAGGTTGCTTCCGTTTCTTCAGGGAGGTCTTGCGGAATATGCCCGCAACACGATGGACTAGCTTGGACGGCGACCCCGAATCACACGGGATAATATAGGGACCTTAAGAATTAGAATAGGGTTTTTGGGGCCCATTATACTATACTTAGAACAAGGAACCCCGAAACAGTGTTGGTAATTGTTTAGGCCCCTACATGAATCTCTAAGCCGAACAGAAACCCTAAACCCTAAACCTTATAACCCCTCAATCCTAAAGAATAGTAGTAATTATTTCGGCCCCCCACATGAATCTCTAAGCCGAACAGAAACCCTAAACCCTAAACCTTATAACCCCTCAACCCTAAGTAGGAGTAGTACTTATTAAGGCCCCTACATTACCCTAAGGGTCCACAGGACCTACTAATTAGGTACTTGGTTTACGGATGGTAGTTTTGTAGGCTAGTATTTGGGATAGTGTATGATTATTGGGTACTTGGACGCTTAGAGTTAAGATTTAAGCCCCTAGACCCTAAACCCTTAGAGTAGCCCTTATAGAGCCCTTTAAGGAACCCTTTAACGGAACCCCCCCAAAAACCTACTTCTAACTACATTATGCATGTGGGTAGTTCTCTAAATTAGGGTCCGTTTTGGGTTTCTTTTTATAAGGGTGCCGCACTATATTGGGGACCTCATAAAAGGGACCCTAATTTAGAGAACTACCTCTGTGT